TGTTGACCCAAATTGGAGACTCTCGTGTTAAAAGGAGAAAACTGACTCCCGCAGTTTGTCCTCTGGCCTCTGTACACATGGCATGGCACATGAGCACATACATACACACAAATAAATAAAATAAATTTAATTTGTAAAAAGATTTCCTGGAAAAGATCATCCTGAGTGAGGTATCCAGAAGCAGAAAGACACACAGGGTGTATACTCACTCATAAGTGGATATTAGACATATAATATAGGATAAACATACTAAAACCTGTACACCTAAAGAAGCTAATCAAAAAGAAGGACTCTGGTTAAGATGCTCAGTTCCCATTCAGGAAGGCAGGAAGGATGGATATCGGAGGAGGGAGAAAACAGGGAACAGGACAGGAGCCTACCACAGAGGGCCTCTGAAAGGCTCTACCCTTCAGGGTGTCGAGACAGATGCTGAGACTCATAGCCAAACTTTGGGCAGAGTGCAGGGAATCTTATGAAAAAAGTGGAAGATAGTAAGACCTGGATACAGGAGCTCCACAAGGAGAGCAACAGATCCAAAAAGTCTGGGCACAGGGGTCTTTTCTGATACTCCAGCCAAGGACCACTCATGGAGATGGCCTGGAACCCCTGCACAGAGGTAGCCCATGGCAGCTCAGTGTCCAAGTGGGTTCAGAGTAATGGGGACAGGGACTGTCTCTGGCAGGAACTGATTTGCCTGTTCTTTGATTGCCTCCCCCTGAGGGGGTAGCAGCCTTACCAGGCCACAGAGGAAGACAATACAGCCAGTCCTGATGAGACCTGATAGACTAAGATCAGAGGGAAGGGGAAGAGGACCTCCTTTATCAGTGGACTGGGGGAGGGGCACAAGTGAGGAAAAGGGAGGAGGGTGGGATTGGGAAGGGAGGAAGGAGGGAGCTACAGGGGGGGATACAAAGTGAATAAACTGTAATTAATAAAAATAAAAATTATTAAAAAAAAGACCTCTCTTTCACAACAGATCACAGGGAAATAATAGCTGTAAAACCATTGGTTTTAAATGTTCTCCTTTAAGAAACAGAAAAGTGACTGTGCTTAATGATATAAAGCCAGAAAACAAGCCAAGCACACCCCAGCAGATAAAGAATAGGATGCCCCACAATGGAATGTTACATAGCAATAGCAGCCATCTAGCTGCTTCTACTGCAATGACAGATGGGATTCTCAATTGGGAATCTCCCAAGGCATGCATGGCAGTGTCTGGAGTTGTATTTGGTTGTCATGGCTGGGGACTCAGCTCCAGGCATTGAGTGAACAGAGGCTACAGATGTCACAGAATGCCCTACGGCTAGCTTATCAACAATGTCCACAAATCCCCACATCTTGCTGAGTCAAGAGGCCACAGCTGTTGTAGCAAAGAGGTCTGGTGCTATGGAAATATGCAACATCTGGATCCCATGCCTGAGGATGCCATGCAGGCCTATTTTCCAGCTCTGAGGGGACACTAGACTGGAGTACTGTCACATGATCCACTAGCCTTTGGCGTCTACACACTATCAATCCCAGAATCCTAGAATACGGGGTAGATGTGCGCTACTTTGCATGGAGACGGATTCCCAGGACCAAAATAGCACTCCAAGAGAAGGTCTGGCTTCCGGCACACTTAGAGGGGACCATGGAATAAAAAAGCCAGCCTTAGGGATGGAGTCAAGAAAGATGGTGCAGTGGACTGAGATATAGCATGGCAGATGTCCCTGCAGTCTGGGTGATCCATAGATACACCAAGCCTGGGCAGGCCATCCATGTGGAGAGGGGCAACTCCAAACACTGGCCTCACTCAGTTCATTTATCCTCTGCAGCCTGAGCATCCAGGGTGGCTGACAGGACCCAATACATTCAGAGTGACACAGGTTTAGGTCATGGGCCCTTTGAGCAGGTTTGCTATGGTATGGGCTGGGGGCCTAGCCTGTACCCACCCTCCACCCCTAGAATCCACCAGGTACCTGCTCAGCTGAGAAAATGCCTCTGTCAGAGTGGCCTGTAGGCAAGTCTGTACGAAATTTTCTTGATTATTGATGGGGGGAGGGGACTGTGGGCGGTGCCACCCCCGGGGCAGATAGTCCAGGGAGAGAGAAGAAAGTTAACTGACCATGAGAGCTTGAGCACCAAGCTAGGAAGCAGTGTTCCTGTGTGGCCTATGCCCTCAGTTATTGCCCTGGCTTCCCTTCATGATGGGTTGTGATCAGGACTCCAAAGAAACCCTTTCCTCCCCAGCTTGCTTACGGTCATGGTGTTTATCACCGCAATAGAAAGCAAACCTGCACAGGTACCCCCACCCTCAAGATCCTGGGGAGCCCACACCAACCATACTCCATGACAATAAAAGAGAGCCCCTCTGCCTGGAACCCCAACCTCACCGTGGATGTGCTTGGACATGTTAGAAGACGGAGCTGTGACCCCTGACCCATACTTTATGGACACAGCTGGGGGAGACAAATGCTGAAGCCTTCCCCTTCTCTTCCCCCCTCCCCAGCTCCCTCTGTTCTTTCCCATCAGCCCCCAAAGAGGACACAATATAAATTGCTCCATGAAGCTGCAGCAGCCCTCCTACGAAACCTCTGGAGGCCAGCCTTAACCTTCAACCAAACCAACAAACAAAAACAAACAAACAACAACCAAAATCCACACAAAACAAAGCAAAAACCAAACTCTTAAGACTCTTTAATTACTGTTCTCTTCTGATAGGATATAAATTCCCTAGAGTCTCTCTTTAAGGCACAATCCCTCATTCAAGCTCTTTGTTAAAAATAACTCCAGTAACCAGCCATTAAGCTGGGAATGTGTCTTAGCCTACCCTTCCGGGTTCCCCCCTCCTCTGGTTTGCAAATTGGCACCTCCCCAGAACTTCACAGAAGACGAAAGCAGAGTCTTCCACAAGACTAACACCAACAGCACTGGGAGGGCCAGACCTGTAATAATCTTACTGCAATGGAAGGCCATCCCCTCCTGTCAGGCTGGCTCCCCTGCAAGCCTTCAGATGGGAGGTTGGGGGATGGGGAGAGCAATGGCAGAGAGCCCATCATTATTGCCTTCTATTCTAAAATTACATTTTTTTACTTACTTATTTAGCGTGTGTGTGTGTGTGGGGGGGGGGGGGGGTTAAAGGATACCTTATAGGAATCAGCTCTGTCTTTCCACCATGTGAGTCCCAGGCATCAAATTCAGGTTGTCAGGTCTGGTGGCAGTGCCCCTATCTACTGAGTAGACTCCCTGACCCCACCACTACCTTAAGTAGACTCAGCACTTGAGACAGTCCAGACTTCTCCTACCTTTGAGAGAGAAGCACATATGTCTCCTGAACGGACAGCCCACTCAGGTCAGTCTGCAGCTCGTCACCAGCTCCTTGGAAGCCTTGGTCTTCTGAGCTGTCGTGCCACGCCCCCTCCCTGAGCACACCTCTCACCCCTCACCTCTTCACCTGTTCGCCATCATCACCTTTCCAACAGGACCAGTCAGTGCGCATGCCACCCCCACCCCCCTGTGAAGGTGTGGGCCCTCCTGCTGCTTCCCTCTGAGAATTCCAGTGAGTAGGGCAGCCCCCCTAAACCTGCTTCCTTCGCCTACATTCAAGTCAGCATGTGCTGGGCAGGGAAAACATCTGGGTTCTGAAATCTTGGTTTTTAGTGCTGCTGAAGTGCCTCGTAAGACCCTAGTGACCTTAGTGGGATAATCAGTCTTCAAGACTCTGTGTTAAGTCTGTCCTTGACCACTTATTAAACTTCATCTTCTGAAGCGAGTCACACACACACACACGCACACACACACACACACACACACACACACACACAACCTCAAGAGAAATGGAGTGAAGCTATCGTCTGTCATTGCTACCCTACCGGGATGACAACCTGAGAGACTTCTCCCTGTCTTCTCTGTCTCTGTCTCTCTGTTCTGTTTCTTTGCAGATGGATACAGTGTTTCCAGAGCACTGGGCAGATCTTTACATGGCAAACCCAAAATTCTCAGAGAAGGCTGTTGAATCCTGGGAGCCCCATAATCCGGGTTAGGGAGCAGGACCAAGCAGCACCCTGAGGAGGACAGACCAGACTTGCAGACACTTTCAAAACAAACAAGAGGGAGAAGAGCAGGAACTGCTCCCTAACAAAAGGGGAGAGGAAATGACACCAGAGCAAACATGGAAACAAACTCTTGTGTTTAAACATCTTGGATTTCTCAGCTCTAGCCAGGCTGAGTGCATGCAGGCCCACGTGCACACAAAAGCAGATGCACAAATGGGTGTGAGCCCTGTTGTCTGCCCTCTGCTCTCAGGGGCTCTTATCCCACCCTCCTGTTCCTCTTTCTCCTGTCGGCAGAGAGCATCCCCGACTTTTCCAGCATGCCTCCTCCTGCCCTTGTGATATCTGCTCTCACCTATGGGTTCCCTCTCCAGAAGCTTCACCTAGGACAGTGAGATTCCCAAGACCTCAGGCATGCCCTACTGTGTGCCCAGCATCACCCTCAAGATGCTAGGTGCCGGCTGCAAGCATAGGAAGACATTGTGTGAGTTGAGTGTGCACATCCACATGGGCATCTTAGGAACCTCACATCCCATCTCTGCCATTCTCACCCTCAGGCAGAGCCGCATAAAGATGAGAGAACCTCAGTGCAAGTAAATGCATGGGGGCAAACAGCTCATCCCTCCAAACCCAAAGCACAGAGGTGTCGCTCTCAAACTCTGCAGCAGTGCATGGCAGAGCTCAGCTCTGCATCTTGCTTACACCCTCATGCCTGCTAAGTGACATGCCACCTGGCACAGCTGTCCCTCTACTTTGAGCAAAATGTTTCCACAAGCCAGGGGTATACCCATAAGAGCTGCACTCTCCTTGGAGAGCCACAGCGGGGGACCCCAGAGACCACTTCACTCAATGTCAGCCCACGTGTCATTGGCAAGGCTCAGCTGTGGTCCAAGAACAAAATTGTGAGGAGATGGACTCTAGGGAGCAAAACCATAACGAGAGCCAGTGAGGGGGATGCCTTCCACTCACCAGTTTGTGCCTGAGATGGACAGTGATCAGAGGCGAGCCGGATAGGTTCTGGGACAGAGTGGGTGGTGGGGTCACCTCCAGGGAGATCAGGCGGCTGGCGACAGACAGCAGGCAGTCTCTGCAGTTCACAGCCTCGGGAATCCTTGGGAGTCAGTGGAAATGGGTCACAAATGGGGACTGAGGGAGGGGCACAGCTAGACCCTGCCCTTGAAGGCAAGTGTTCTGCAGTCAACGGTTAACCCTACATCTGGTCGGGAACTAGCCTCTGGCTAAGCATGTTAATTCTGTGCCTCGGTTCTACCCTCTAGGAAGTGTGACAGCTTCTCGGGAGATGAGACTGGGAAAGACCTCAAAATACACCAGGGAATGCAGAAGACCAGGTCTGTGCCCCCAGGCTTGGAGTCTCAGGACATTTACTGCCAGACTATGTAACCTCAGGCCCTTACTTGTCCCATCTGAACCTAACTTTCCCCGTTTACACAAACACACAGTCATCACACAAACATGCTTCTGGGTAAGTCTACTGTCTCGTTGCTTCCTGTCCATCACTTTCCTCACGAAGGTGTCTTGGTTCCCTCAGTTTATTTGGCTGGTCCCTCTTCCTCCCCTCGGCCACGCACTCAGAGCTGAGTCCATGGCTCTGGAGCAAGCCCTGCCATCTAGATCTGTGTTGGGTAGCGCAGCACGTGGCTCAACCACATGACAGTCAAGGATGAGGTCACACCCCAGGAACCTTTCCACGGAATGGAGAGATTAAGGAAGGGAGTGCTGGGACAGAGTCTCACTCCTCTCTGCTGGATGTCAGCCCTGAAGGACAAGCTCTCCCTGACTTAAAACTGTAAGGAGACTGACTGAGTGCCGGAGAAGGAAGACCAGCCTGGAAAAAGCCTAGAGACGAGATCTGTCAGTTGGGCAGCTGGACCACGGTGCTCCTGAAACTTAGAGTATCCAACAAGTTTCCCATTTGCTTAAAACTTCTCAGACTAGATTTCTCCGCCTCACTCTGCTCTGCCACAGCCCTATTCCTGACATGGAGTTCTGAGGTTGCAGTGCTGTTCATGGCCAAGGTCAGGGATGGACAGTGCGGTGAGAAACCTATATGAATCACTGTGCACAAGTTTGGCTTGGGGCGGGGCCTGGTGAGCTTGATATGTGAATGACCCCAGGGGAGTTTAATTATGTGCCTGAGCTTCCTGCTCTCCTCATATGTATGAGGAAATGTATTTCCTCAACTGTATGAGGAAAAAATGGGGAGAGAGGGGAGGCAAGAAATCTTCCCAAGGCCGGTCAGCTGCCTTCCCATTCTATAGTTGTGCAAACTGAGGCTCAGAGAGCTTCATTCATCATGGGTCCCAGATGATTGTCAGCCCAGAGGGTGCTGATGAGGTCTCTTGCCTGTGTCTCTGAATATAGCTGACCTGGCTGCCCCAGAGCCTGCTGGATCCTACTTGACAGAGTTCCCTAGTTTTCTGCAAAGGGCCAGAAGCCCAGCCTGGCTTGAATAGTGAGGCAGCAGATGCTAGCAGCCAAAGTTTTCTAACAAAAAGACACGTGTGTGTGTGGCAGTGTGGGGTGTCACCTCCTTTGGCCATCCAGGAAACATCCACACCTCCCCCCTGCCCCCCCCACATCACTGTACAGCACTCACCTTGTGCTGGCTGGGGGAATGTTGTTCAGGTAATAGTGCATGGAGTGGTAGAGAAGGCCGACGATGGTGGTCCAGGCTGGGGACAGAGCACAGATCAGATGCCCGTCAACACTCACTCCAGTTACAAACAGGGCATGTGCAGAACCACACACACAGTGGGGGATGGAGGCAGTGACTACTCGGGTGGGGGTGGGGAGGAAGGGAGGGCCACAGAACAAGGACGTAGCAGCATGGAAGCTGTGCTGGTCCACGGTGCTCAGCTGCCATGATGACCTCCTGCCTTGTCCCTGATGCCCATTCTAGACACAGGTGCTGAAGCCCATCCAGGACACCACAGACCCTCAGGGGCAGAGGACTCTTCATGGGCTGCCAGCCCATCAATGAGTGTGTCTCGGTCAGTCTGCTCACACTCAAGGGAGGGTTGAAGGCCGTAGCAGACCCAGATGGCTGCAATGTGTCCCTTGCCCCTTATTACAATGAGAACCACATACTCAGCTTTTCTTTCACTCCACGGGTGTTGAGAACAGTCAGCCATGAGTGGCTGATTTTGTGGGCTCTTCCTACTGTCGACTCAGGACTCGTTACACACCACGCACAGTGATTCATACACGATTTGCCTTGTATGCTCCGAAAGCAGGCATTGTAATTGCCCTGGCACAGATAAGGTCAGCAGCATGCCCAAGGCCACACAGCCAGCAGTGGGCTAGGCTGGTGTTCTAACCAGGGTTTGGGCTGGTTGACAGCAAGTGTTGAGAACACGGCCTCTGGCCATCCTGGAAACCTGGTTACTTCTGATGCAGCCTGCAATGGAGCCTGGAAGTATAAGACCCTATGCAAGGCTACTCGATGGTACATGTCTCCTGAGAGCAGGATACACTGAGTCTTTGCCAGGAGAAGATGGCAGTCTTGGGTACCTGTCCTCCAGCCCAAAAGATAGGTCCTTGTAAGGAGAGGGGTTGTGGGGCAGGGCTGGACCTCTGTCCAGGCCCTCTAGGGGGAGAAAATACAGCAATCCTCAACTGTGAGTGAACCCAAGAAGAAAGGATCTACACAGAAGATGCCATCCAGATTTGGCCAGAGTTGCCCAGGCTCTGGAGCGCCCCGGCCTATACCAGATACCCTTGGTTACCCACTCATAATGAGACTTGATTTGGGCCTCTCCTGGGACAGTTTCTGGCTCCCCTATACAGACATACTTAATCCGTGGCTACCTTGAACCAGGAGGGAAGGTGCCCCATCTGCTCATTGTATACTAACCAGGAGCTGAGCAGATCTGGGGACACGCAGTACTCTGTGTGGTGGGCCAGACTCATAGGATCATAAATTTCCAGGGCTCCACTCCAAGTCCCAGCTCAGTCTACAGGGTGTCATGGAATAGATGGTAAGGCGTGCTTTGCAGCAGAGCCTTCTCTGGGAGCAGCCAACCCCACCCTCCTGTGAGAGACACTCCATCGGGGAAGACAGCCACCCAGGCTTTACCACCTAAGGGCCTGAGAAACCACATCCACTCACCTTGGCTGTGAAGGGCCTCTCTCGGAATCTCAATGTAGCTGTGCCCATGGGCTGGGAATCTATAGTGGGGGGCACTCAGCGCTGGTGGAAGGACCTTAGCTATGGAGAAATCTGAAGGAGAAGTGGACACAGAGAATGGGGTCAGCAGGTCTCTGGCGGGAGAGATTCTGGCCTTCTGCAGCCCTCTAGCTCTAAGCACTCAACCTCCTAGTAGCAGTGATGCCAGAACCCATGAGGGTGAGGGAGACTGTGGTTATCTAAGCTTCTGGGGCACCCTGTCAGAAAAGGAAGAATAAAAACATGTGTGTGTGTGTGTGTGTGTGTGTGTGTGTGTGTGTGTGTGGCGGGAGTGGCTTGGCAGCCAGGCAGCCCCAAAAGCTGCCTCTGGGGGCAGATGAGCTCCTGGACCATGATAGCATGCTGTGTGATGCCACCACACTGATGTGTCCTCAGAGACTCAAAGCAAAGAATGCATGCTTGTCTGTGGGGACCTGACACATCCTGGAAAAGCCAGGCTGCTTCCTCTGAGATGCCCCATTCTGGCATTCACCCAGACTCACATTCTGGCCTCCTTGGCTCCTCCTCCAATGACCCTCTTCACCCACACCAAGGCAGAGAGCATCCCACTGAGATGTTTAAGGACCCAAGGGCTCAAGGTAGTTGAAGTCCCCCTTCTGTTTGAGCCCAGATGACTGTCATGAGACACCTACAGCTCCCACGTTATCGTGACTGCTTACACAGTCCTGTGTGGTGGGCCCTGTGGACCAGCACTTCTAATCTAATTCTAACACGTTTTCCTTCAAAAATGGGATTTTGCACAAGGTGCCAGAGCCCAGAGAAATAGTGGTTTATCCCAGCTGCTATGTGAGCCTCAGGCAGTGTGAAGGCCAGTGGCCTGCACATCTGACACTCTTTCTCCAAAAACCTCCACTCCTCCCCAATCTGATAATGGCTACCTGCCATGGAGGAAGAGCCCGTGAGGGTGACGTGGGTTTCTCTGGGCTGCAGATTAGATGATATGTGGCCCATGACGGTGTCAATGGTGTCGACCAGGCCCAGCACCATGCTGTTGTCCTGCAAGCAACACAGACATGAAACTCTGAGGACTGCCACCCTCAGCATCGCTTGAGATGGGCACATCAAGATCCCAGGGCTTCACTTTCCCATGATGCTTATAAGAGGGAGAAAATCACCTAATTTCCCTACTACAGAGCCTGGGCAGTGTCCATGTACCTGATGAGTTCACGGAGCATGGACACAAGTCAAAGCAGACCCAAGGTCGTGACATTAGCTCCTGAGTGATCAGAGAGCCCAGACACCTGTGTGTAGCTGTCCTGTGAAGCCTCCAAGGACCTGGACAAGTCTTATGTCTGCCCATGCTTCGGTCTTACAGATAATGGCCCTGAGTCCCCTGAGGCATGAGGACACCAGCGATTCTTTTCCACCCTCAATGAGGTAGCAGCCTGTTTGGAGGTACCAGCCCCCAAATCCCTGCTGGTCTCCTTGACTTCCCATCCAATAGCCCTCTTTACCTATTCTGCATCTTTAAGGCAGAAAGGACACCACTGGATTCTATCCACAGGGAGGCAGGTCCCTCCTTGATTCACAGCCTCTGCTGCCAATCTGGGATCTGTGTTCATGTCAGGGTTCATGTCCACCTTGGTCTGATGTCTTGGACCTCAGACACCATGGCAAGCAAGAACAGTTGTCTCAGCCCCCTGCCCCATCCTGCCTGGCCCAGTTCTGTCTACCCCTCTCATCTTCTCCCACCCTTTCTTAGACAGCATCTGTCACTGCTGAGCTCTCAGCACCCTCTCACAAACACTCCAGGAGGGCCTACTGAGGCGGAACCAGACGCACAGGCCAATTTTAGACATTGTCTCCTAGGCCCGTGGTCTGATTCCAATCAGCACGTCTGTGTCTTTGGCACACAGTTCTACGGGGAGCAGCGATTCGTGCATGCCCTTCTCGTCAATGCTCATAAGCTTGCCTAAGCCTGGATTGTTTCATAATTATTCATATTTTGCAGCAGATTTGCGTATTTTACATTCAAAGAAATTTCATTTAAATCAATGAAGAAAATCTATCGGTCCGAGGCCTCCACTGGCTGCCGTCCCTCTATTGGCTGTCCCCACTGGCTATCTTCCCTTTCAGACTGCAGCTTGTACACAAAGGGCCTTAGAAACCTATCCCTGGAGGTCTATACTTCTTGAAAAGGAATGTGTTTCTATGTAAGCCTGTGTCACTCTCACATTCTTGACCCCCTTCCCTTCCCATTTGCCAGTGTTATGCAATCTCATTTCACATGAAACTGTCTAATAGAGGGCTCACAGCGTGCAAACCCTCATGCCATCTTACTAATAAGGTGAGAATTGGCTGTCCCTTCTGCCTCTCAACCATGCAAAAACCTTTAAATGTTTGAAATGAGAAGGGTTCAAGAGAGTGAGCCCTCCCGCATACTAGTATAATCAGGGCCCCTTCTGGTGTTTGGAAGCCTTCATCTTCCCCTCTCATTGCACCCCTGAAAGCCATGTGTGGCAAGGAGCTGGCCAGAACTCAGATCCCTGAGCCACTGCATAGACTCTAAATATCTGAGAGGTGAATGCCCACTATGCTAAGTCACTCTGAGGTGGGGGCTTTTGTTGCTGTAGCATGGTCTGTACTGACCTGACTAACATGGTACTCAGAATAAAGAGAACCTTGGCCAATGTTCTTTTTCCCCCTTTTCCCCATTTTTGTGTGGGTGTGTGGTATGCATGTGTGTACATGTTTTTGCATATGTGTGGGTATATATGCGCACATGTTCTTATGTGTATGTGGAGCCTAAGGTTCATGTTGAGAATCAGCGTAAATAACTCTTCCACCTTGCTCATTGAGAGAGGGTCTCTCAGTCAAACTCAGAGCTCACCAATACAGCTAGCCATCTCGCTCTGGGGATGCCCTGTCCCTGCCCTCCCAGATCGGAGTTAAGGGGAACTGCCATGCCCGCCCAGCATTGGTATGGATGCTTGGAATCTGAACCCCAGTCTGCATGCTTGTGAGCTCTCCCTTCAACACTCCATATTGGTAAAAGCTCTTGATAGAATTAAGGACAAGCACATCCACCAGATGTCTGTAGAAATGTATGTGCATGAGTGGGCTTTGGATCAGACTCTGGGGTTATACGAGGTTGCTCCCGTCATGCTCTGCCTGAAGGTCCCGGGTGATTCTTATCTTAGATATTTTTATCATCCGCCATCGCCACAACTATTCATCACCTCTTCTCATGTTTTTAAAGAGGTGGTATCAATAAGATGGTTGGAAATCAAAGGAAAGCACTCCGTTCTGCTTCCTGAATTTTGAGCACAGGGGGACAAAAGCCTTCACTTTCTCTTTAATCAGGAAGCACACTTTTGTACTCTGCCATCTCACACTCGATCCGCTGATCTTCAAATGCCAAATATGGCTCTTATGACTATTCAAGAATGCAAAACAAAAAAAAAATACATTGTGTGAAATGACAAGGAAAAGGTCAGCCTTCTGGAAGAGCTGCTCCCTTTTCCAGAGGCAGTGGCATAGAACTGAGGGTCCCAGGGTCCCCAGCAGACCAGAAGACACAATACCCTGGGTGTATTTCATGTCCAAGGGAAACAAACTTCAGTGTCTCAGACATCAGGACCAAGAGAGGCTTCATTCCTCTTAGAGACAGTTAGGGCCTGGGATGCCACTTCAGGAAGACAGCCATAACCCAGTACACACATGCTAAAGGTCAAAGCATCCTTCCTCTTACCTCTGACACATGGATCCAGCTGGGCAGCAGAAGCACCTCGCCCACAGTTCTTAAGAAGGTCTGAAGATAAACAGAAGAACACTGCTTAGCATAGGTCCTTGAGACTCGCATCTGAACCTATCAGTCTCCTCCTGAATCTTCACACATCCCCTCAGCCAGTAACTGCTGTGGCGCACCGTAGCAGGCAATAATAGCTTATCATTGTATGTATGTTTACATGTATGTGGGCACATGTATGTGGGCACACCTCCGTGTTGGTGCACATGGGAATGCATGTGTGTTCAGCCCAAGGCTGATGTGTGTAATCATCCTCAATTGCTCATCCACCTTATCCAATGAGGTAGGAGCTCTCAACTAATCCCAGAGCTGACCAATGTGGCTAAATCTTGCTAGCCAGCTTATTCCAGGGAGCTCCTGCCCTGCCTTATGAGGAATTATAGGCTGTTCACCATGCCCATTCAACATTATATGGATTCTGGGGATCTGAACTCAGGTCTTCAGGCTTATGGGTCAAATGTTTGAATCACTGAGCCATCTCCCCAGCCTCAGGCTGTATCTTACAGATGCTGTCTCATTTGTTTCTGTGACAACCTTGTATTGCCAGTGATCAGAATGTGGACATTACAAATGCCCGGGACACATGACAGGCCTCAGCATTTCTCATCAATGGATGGATGGATGGATGGATGGATGGATGGATGGATGGATGGATGGATAGATGGGTAGGTAGATGGATGCATAGATGAGTGGAGGGATGAACAGGTGGACTAATGGACGGATAGGTAGATGTATAAATGGATAGATGGATGAATGAGTGAATGATTACAGCTCATGAAACCTGACATTAAGCCATGTAAGCCAGCTGGAAATCACCTCTACAAAGCAGGAGCTACTTATGTCTCTCAGTCAGTCACCTTAAAACTTGGTTTGGCTCATTCTTGTTCCAAAACAATAAAATTAAATTTTAGCACCTTCGAAGAGGGAGAGTTAAAGAAAAACTGGTCTTTCTGCTTCCTTTGAAAAAAGCATTAGTTTGCACACCACATAGACTGCCAGCGACCCATGTAACCATAGAGCAAAACTGAGCAGGGTAGCTGCTTCAATGAAGTTTGCCCCATTCCCTGCCCTTCCCTACTGCATAACACTTCATTTATCCCATTTCGTCTGCTGCCACAGACACCAGACTCAAACTCGGAGTTGACTCACTCTTCTGTTTCTTCCACTCAGTGGTTCTCAACCTTCCAGACGTTGTGACCCTTTAATACAGTTCCTAATGTTGTGGTGACCCCCAACCATGAAATTATTTTTTGTTGCTATTTCAAAACTGCAATCTTGCTACTGTTATGAATTGTAGTGTTAATATTTCTTGGAAATAGAAGTTTGCCAAAGGGGGTCGTGACCCACAGGTTGAGAAACATGTAGCATCTACAAAGTTGCCAAAATCCTGTCCCCCTTTGCCAAAGACACTAAGTATGTTCAGAACGCACTGTCAAAGCTTCCTTCTCCCATTCATCTTCATTCCATAACTGTTTATTAATACTCTAAAGCACAAGGGCTTAACTAACGGAGGCAAAATGTTCCTGTTTTCTCTCCTTGAACAGAGGATTGGCAAGCGTTTTCTTTTATTCCTTGGGTTTTTTTTTTTTTCTTTCTCCTCTCCCTCCCCTCTCGCTCCTCCTCCCCTTTCTTTTCCTCCTCCTCCTCCCAGACCCCCTCTTCCTCACCCTCCTTCTCCTCTTCCTCCTCATACAGCCCAGCTTGGTACATAGAATGACCCAGGCCAAGGATGACCTTGAACTTCTGGTCCTGTTCCCTCGACCTTCTCCCAAGTGCTGGGGTTACAGGTGTGTGCCACCACTGTTGGTTTGTACAGTGCTGGGGATCAAACCCAGGACTTGATGCCTGTTGGGTGAGCGCTCTTCCAACTGGGCTGGATTCACAGCCCCTAAGATTCTTTTTTTTTTAAGCCACAAATTAAGGACTGCAAGTTGTCAGGTTAGATCCTCAACTCTGCCATGGAGTACAGAAGCAGGCTAGACTGTGCATAAGTGAGTGGCCATATGTCCCTAAAATTTTACTACACAAGCAGGCCATGCATGGCTCACAGTTGCCCTGAGAAACATAGGGCAGTTCTGAGAGCGGAAATGAACCAACCACAGCAATTCACCTTTCTTTTCCTTCCTTTTCTTTTCTTTTCTTTTCTTTTCTTTTCTTTTCTTTCTTTCTTTCTTTTCTTATTTTATTTTTTTTTTACAGGATCTCACGATGTAGACTCAAAATCTCCTGCCTCAGTTTCCAGGTACTGAGATTATAGGTGTGTATATTCATACAGCTGTATATTTCCAACCAGCTGCTTGTATGAGGAACGGGGTTAAGTCAATTAAATAGTATATTTTTTTATTTACTTAATTCAACACATAAAAATATTTTTTCAACCTGCAGCACATACAGAGTTTTTTGTTGCTGTTGACTGTTATTTTACAGTTCTTATGTTCGAGGCTGAAGACTTCAGTGAGAATCTTGGACATGTGTCACTAATCCCCGTACACAAACTACAGATCTATGCTCAAGAGCACACATGACTGATAGCTACCACTTGCACAGTCTAGGAAGTGGCCTCTGGCGACTCTACCGGGCTAGAGCCAATGATTAAGAGCCAGGACACTATGAAAAGCTACACAATGACTGCCTAGAAATGCTATTTCCTGTTGAATGGGAGCTGAGAAGTGCTGGGAGCCGTTCTGGATAATTTGTCCCCAGAGCACCAGGGTCAGCATAGGCCATGTAGAAGCCTCAAATGGATGACCACTGGGATCAGACAGTCTTGAGATGGCTTTCTTTTGATCTATACACATTTTCTTTTAAAATTCCATTTGTGTTTTCAAGGATTAGTGCTCTCCTTGCTAAATCAGAAGGTTGAAATCAAGAAGCTCTGAGTGGCTGGCTACTGCTCTCCACAGGTCAACTGTCTACCTGGTGGTCCTGCCTGTTGCATCCATTACGTGGATTGTCAACCCCCAAAGGCATCTGGACTTGCAATCTCTAATTCTGTAAGGTTTTACAGAGAGATAAAGAGGAAGTAACAGGCAAAGAATAAAGCCGCAAAGCCTATGAAATGTTACCCATGTGACCTGTATTGAAGCCTGTGTTTCAGTACGTCAGCTTACAAAGGAGATAGAACCACTTTGGCCAGCTGTACCTGTCTCACTTCATTCCTACTGGGCATCTTGTAGCTCCACACTGGGCCCATTGATCTCACCTAAACCAATGATGAGCCTAGGAAAGCAGAATTGGCATGGCAGGCTGGCCAACCAAAAAAGAGAACTTGGTTGGGCAGAATTGCCTGTTTGGCCTATGGCTGATCTTTAGCTACTTGGTGGGTTCTTTTTGATTCCATCCATTTCCACACTTTCTACCTTCTAACACTAGATAGGAGAAAAAAAGATAGAGAGGGAAGAAGAAAGGAAAGAAATCCCTGAATGAAGTCAGGGTTCAGAAAGAGGGTGATATTATCACTAGACTATTTCCTGCTGATTAGGGGCATAGAGGACCTTGGGGCAAGTCTGATCTTTGCCATCCAGATATATAATTTCTTTTTGTTGTTTCTTCTTTGCACACGACTACTTAACAAACCATGACCAACAGCAATCAACAACCAATCAACAATCCAAGCCACCCTCAGGGCCCCAGCATTTCTATACCATCTGAAAAGTCCCCAGAATTTCAAACATTACACAATCGCAAAAAACTATCTGCAGCTGGCAAAACAAAAAACAAAACAAAGCAAAAATACATGCCCCAGCCAGAGCATGATGGAAATCATAGTCAGCTGCCTTGAACAATCTGAAGCAGCCCCATATCCCACACCTGGAATTAAAACAAAAACATATTCTTATAATATTTCTGTTTTTTTTTTTTTTAAAGAAACCAAAGTTTCAAAATTGTCACTACAGTGTCACACTTCCCATTTCTACAGGAAGAGGGTCTGGGATTAGGTGGGAAATCCCTAAACTTGGTCAGCCTTATAGGTCACCAGTGGGGGATGGTATACGATGCACAGGAGCAAGATTTGGCCTGCAGTGAGTGCTTGTCAAATCTCTCTTTTGCTCCTGAGGCATCCACCCACCCTCCCCGTCCCCAATACTTCCAGACACACAGGCGAAGGGCTGGGTGTGGTCGAATGGACACAGGGACTGGGACCATCAGACACTATGGTCCCAGGACACAGTACCCTCACACTAATAGATCAGTGGTCACTGTGCATAACGGAGGGTCACATAGCAGACCCACCCAGCCACTGTCAGTGCCAAGGACTCAGACACCATGGTCCACACCTGCTCTAGGGTGAAGCTGTATTTGCCGCCATGCAGATGCCAGCTAAGGACCCAGGCAGCACGACTTCTCCACATCTCCAGCGAAAGTGAGTTCTGCATGGTTGAACAGTGTGCCTGCCAGACTGCTAAGAGCACAGGGCTTGGGGCCACACCAAGCTTGTCCCACTCCAGGGCCTGGAGCCTGAGCTCAGCTACCCAAGCCCATCCTTCCTTAATACTTTCCAGAACCTGGATCTATGTTGGTCCCTCAACCTCTTGAAAAACGTAGTTCCTGGTGATAGGGGATTCTGGAACCTATGTGTTCTGAGAGATGATGAAATCTCAGACATCCAACTTGCTTCTCCCACTTTACTCAAGAAAGCTACTGGCTACCTCCCGCCCCCCGCCCCAGGGAGCCTCTGGACACCCCAGGTGCTTTCCCTGGGTGTGCCTTCAGCACTAGAACCCCAAGAAACTAGAACTATTGCACCAGACACCAAAGTGTACAGAGACCCACTTGGCCCCTGTGACTATTGCCTCCATGTGTCAGAATAGCCTGGAAGCCAGCAACATTTGTTCACTAACCAGGAGTACACAGTTATAACCTGCAGCACAAAGCTAGGCCTAGTGTCCAGACTCCACACTCCCCAATCATAGCCTTGGGCTGTATTCTCAAGAATGGGCCACCTCAAACATCCCTTTGCCTTTCATACCAGCCAAGAACCCTGGCTCAAGAAGATAATACAGCCATGAACTATCCCAAACTCCTTCCTCTACCTGGGACCATTAAGAGGAGCAAAGGAAGGGAGCATCTTGACTTTAATAACCTAAGTCACACTTGCAGAGTGTTGTCGGTGACTTCAGGAAGTCACACTGTGCGTTGTCATCTGTGACCTCCGACTCATCTGCCGGCATCCCCCACTCTACCTCTTCCTTATTGCCAAGGAGGCATCAGACTTGAGACCATGAGTTGCAAACCCAATTGGCTCTAGAGACCAGGGCGGGTGTCTAGACAGACCAGAGAGGTTGGGTTCTGGAGAGTGAAATGAAGATCCAATTTCCAGATCAAGGAGGCTTCACTGAGTAGCACAGAGCTGTCCAGAACAGCTCTTCCTGACTGTTTACAAGAAGCCCTAACTCTGTTAGGCAAGGCTCTTGATTCTTTTTATTTTTGTTTTTTGTTTTAGATGTGAGAGAGAGAGAGAGAGAGAGAGAGAGAGAGAGAGAGAGAGAGAGAATGTATACCAGATGTTTGTAGGTGCCTATGGAAGCCAGAAGAGGGTGTTAGAGCCTATGGATCTGGAACTATGGATGGCTGTGAGCCAGCTAACATGGGTACTAGGAACTGAATTCCAGTCCGCTCTAAGAGCAAGTGTTCCTGACTGTTGTGTCACCTCGCTCAGCCATGGATCTAGATCTTTCTGACTCTAACCCATGGTCCAGCCATGCATCAGCCAGTCAATGGCACCAGGAGCTTTACCTCTGTGAGGTTCCATGCAGTGTCCTCTGAGAGGGATTTATTGGGCAAGCTGAGAGACACATTTTGAAGATATTGCAACACGGTCCCAGGTCTCTGGAACCATTTCCTCTTCTCGGTCAGGTTGGCAATGATGGGGTGGTAGGCATCCACGGGCATCTGAAAGATAGTGGCCATATGGCTTCCTGCTAGGAACTAAAGCCAGGGCATTCTATAGAAGCTCAGGATGAACTCTGGCTCTGGGCCCATAAGGACAGTGCCAAGATTGACTTGTCCCACATATGGGTACTTCTGTGGAGAGCCTGCATAAGACAATATCCTCACAGCCACCTTGTGAAACAAGGATCATAAAAGACAAAATTAGCCACAGAGAGGCATACAGAGTCAATGAGTGGTAAACAAGGATCTGAACCCAAGTGGATTAGAAAGTCCAGGCACTCTCTGTCAAAGTCCCTGAGCAAGGGACATTATTTAGACACTAAAGCTAAATCGAAGCACCCACATTCTGTACGAATTGACCCATTCCTCTGATATCAGAAGAAAAGGCACCGAAGGAAGCTAAGAAGAGACAGGTCTCACCTGCCCAGGAAATCATTTCAGGGATCACTGGCTCCTCAAAATTTCCTTTCTTCCTAGCATTCCAAGGAACCAAGGGGAGTCTTTTTTCCAACCACACTCAACACCAAAAATCACCCCAAAATTGTCTTCCCTCCCTCTATTTTATTCTGAACATGACTCTGGCCCCACTGGCACAAGCCAATACCGCAACAAGTGAGTGGGGTTACGATTTGAATGTGAAATGCCATTCACAGAGCCTCCTGTGTAAGCTTTGGCTTCTAGCTGGTGGCACTGTGAAGAGATAATTGGGTCATGGCAGGGTACTAACTTCATCAATGGATTAAACCCACTGATGAGTTCGTCTGCTATAGTATGGAAAATAGACCATGGGATCTGGGTGGAGAAAGGAGGATGTGCCATTGAGGAATATTCTACCTTCAGACTCTCATGCTCCTCCCCCACTCTCCTCTTCCCACCCTCACCCCCACTTCCTGGCTGCTATAGAATATGAAGGCAGCACCCTTTCTCCACTTGGCTTTCTGCCATGATTCCACCTTGTCTCGGGCCGTCAGCAATGCACCCAGCACACAATGGACTGGAAAACCCTCCTCCCTTGGGTTGTCTTTTCGGATATTTTGTCCCAGCTATGAAAAGTGACTCACGCATGGGGCAAAGGGTAAAGGCCCCTGCTCACCACAGTATGTGCTGTGGGCATCGCTGGTGGTGTTGAAGACAGCAGAGCGTGTTTACCTGAAAAAAAAAATGAATGCTTCAGTGAGGGCTAAGTCACCGTTTGGCATCCCCAGGGAGGTCTGTCTTTATTCAGAATTTGCCAGCTTGAGGCGCCCCACAGAGGCACAGGATGTTTTGAGTATGGATGTTGCTGGGAAGATAAAGGGCTCATAAATCAGCCTAAAATGTAGATTATATGGATTTTCCCAGCAGAAATTATTTTTCCATTTATATTGTAAATTGCCTCTGAATACCGTTCATGCAAGCCATCACATAAAAGGATGATTTTATGCAAGGTCTCACGAATCTCAAACAAAGAAAGAATGAGAAATAGCCTTCGTTGGCACCCAGACTCATTACAGATAAAACACAGGATTGTTAATCACTGGACGTTATGGTTTGAACCAGAAGCCTCTCCCACACTCAAGCATTGGGTCTCCAGCTGGTGGCACTATTTTTGGAAGGCTCTGGAAACTCCGGGAGGCAGAGCCTAGCTGGAGAAGCTAGGGCCACTAGGGACCGGTCCCTAAGGATGGAGATATATATATATATACCCCTAAGGGTATATTTATATTTATCCCTAAGGGTATCTTTAGTCCACTTCCTGGGATGGTGGCCAGATCTCCTCTTCTGCTATGATGCCCCACTCAAATGGATAGAGCCCATTGGCCAACTGGTGAGCCCTCTGAAACCTGGAGCCAAAATGAATGGACCCTACTTAAAGCAGTGGTTTTGTGTGGTGACTTGTGACAACATAAAAGAAACTGATACACTAGGCTAAGGTAGACTGGACACCCACCCCAAAAGTGGTGGAGGAGATGGAACTTCTGCTATAAGAAGTCTCTTTATTCTCTCTATTGAAGATCATGGTTAATTATGAGCCATTCCCCACGATAAGATGTTCAAGGTCAAAGATGAAGCCTCCACTAGCCATTTTCTTCACCAACTATTTCTATTTCTATTGTTTTCTGATGAGAACACAGACTTCACTTTGATACTTGACCTCATTTTTGGGAAATGTCTCCCAAGTTGTTTTGGGTGGCCTGAGGAAATGACATCATCACCCTGGCTGCCTTGAGAGCAATGGGTCCCTTGGGACTTGGTGGGGTAAAGTAGCAGATGAGGTAAAGCTGAACCCCAAACACTTTGTTCTCCAAGACTGAATGACATTCCTTGCTCAGGTGCCAAGAGTTAGAGGGCAGTCATGTCATGTGTTTGTGTCATGTCTTGTCAAACTCCTGTTGACTCATGCACAGCCCAGAGATCAAGGTAGTGGAAATGAAGGCTTCCCCGCATACCATGGGAGTGGTCATGGGAGACTGAGATGAGAAGTGAGACTCTGCCGTGCCATTGGTCTGGCTCAGTCCTCGTGTGATTCTGCAAGGGGTCGTCTGGCATACAGTACCTATTCCTGGATTTCAAAGATGTATGCACTGATCTCACAATCCGGAACTGGCCCTCTTTCCTCTGCCCCTGCATGGGAGCTGCTCCGGCTTTAAGTGGCAGGGCCTGGGAACCTTGCTGGAGGAATACTCTGTCTTTCTGTGAGTGAATAAGTAATAGTGTTTGTGTGGGATATCTAGAACATGTGAACCATGGGAAAAAGACATAGATCAGTGGGTGCAGAAGGCTGGCAGAAGTAGGGAGAGGCAGCAGCATGAGCGCCACTTAAGGATGCTAAACTATTTGAGAACGATATAGAGACTGTGGTTGCATGCCTGTGAATTTGCTAAATACTATCAAATTGTTTATCTTATTTTTTTTTTTTTGTGTGTGTGTGTGTGTGCATGTAAAAGCAGGGGTCAACTCTCTACCTACCTGTTTGTTTGTTTGTTTGTTTGTTTTAATTAGGACCTGGGGCTCACTGGTGAGATGAGGCTGGCTGTACAGTGAGGTCCAAGAGATTCAAGAGAGCTTTCTGTCTCCGTCTCCCCCATGCTATACCCTGCTTTTTTTTTTAATGTGGGTCCCAGTATTTGAACTCAGGTCTTCATGCTTGAGAGGCAAGCACTTTACCTACTGAGCTATCGTTCCAGCCCTACTTTTAAAACAAAATGCTCACTTTAAATGGCTACACAGATGTCACACAAAGCTTATGAAAGCTTTTTAAAAGTTCCATGGCAAAGTGAAAAATAGAAGCATATCCACCTACCTACAGGCCCCTACTCTGAGAAACCGCCTATAACCGAGGAAGGAGAAGGTATTTTGGGGTCTGAGGGCCCAGAGGAGGATGTGTACATGGTGGACATTTGTTGAGGACCTGAATGTTTGCCACCAAAACCTCTGTAATCAGCTTTCGCATACCCCGTGGAGCCTGCAAAGATTGGGGAATATTAATCTCAGCATGTCTCCTGTGAACTGCTTGCTTGTTTATCTTGGGGAACAGGTGTTCAGAGACATGACTATGCTTCTATGCTTCATTAGGACACATCTCATATCTGCCATGACAGGAACTTGGGAGCTGAAGGGTGGTGAGGAGCCCCGTGCTGAGTCCACCACAGGCACCCATGCACTGACCAATGGCAGCTGTGAAGTACATCTTGATCTCGTCGGGAGTCAGTGCCCGCTCCCAGATGATGAACTCGTCGAAAGCTCCATTCTCGTAACGCTTGGTCTGGTCCTGCTCAGATCCTATGACCAGGTTGACATGGGGGTCCCCATAGGTGTGGGACACTTTCCCACTCGGGTCTGAGGTGCTCAGGGTCCCGTTGACATAGACTTTCAAGCCCTCCTTGGATTTCCATGTGAACAGGACATGAGTCCAGTAAGGACCTGGAAGACAGTGAAGACTCACCCTGAGCATAGCAGATGAGTCCTGCACAAGCTTCCCTCGTCCCTAAGCACCTCCCTCTTTCATGTGCCGCTTGGTCACCCTTGACCTTAGAGAATCCAACTATGGAGCATAGCAACCCGACTCCCTTTAGTCCTTTGGAGCACATGAGCTTTGCTCCAGCCCCCAAATTCCAAAAGCAACTTGAGAAGACCCTTTTTTATTTTAACACAAGAGTCACAAATGTAAACACCTACAATCATGGGCAACAAAAGGCTTGCTTAAAAGGCCAGGCCCAAACACCAACCCATCAGACCATAATCCTAGTTGAAAATCTCAGTATAGTCAGGAACAAGACGAGGGCATCCCCTGTCACAACTCTTGGCAGTCCTCACTATTACAGTAAACAAGGAAAGCACACAGGTTGGGATGGACAAAATAAACTTATCTATTTTATCAATAATAAAAGCAATGTCTAGAAAGATACCCCATGTTTATAGACAGGAAAACTTACTATTGTTAAGCTGCCTCTCGGTCCCAGTCTGACCTGTAGACTCAATGCAATTCAAATCAACTCAAATCTAGCACGTTATCCTTTGGACAGCCACCATTTGAGTCTAATGTCTACACAGAGACACAAATACCAAGGAAAGTCACATATTAAAGGAAAAAAATAAAAAACAGAGTTGGAGGACCGGCTTGGCCTCTCTTTGAGACTAAAAGTGGCCTGCCCAACTGTGGCCTGTAGGATACATGCATTCACTTGCAACTGAAAATAGCCATGAATGTGGAGCAGTGCAAAACCGTAAATATACTTAAGACATTGTGAGATCCTTCTTTGCAATTCAATGGCACAGTTCTCAAGCGTGAACTTGGCAGGTAGTAATGTTGTTTCACAGTAACCAGAGTCACTTTATAGTTTGGATCAGTAAGTGAAGCCTTGTGGTGTTAAAGGGACAAACAGATAGATCAGAGGGATGGAACAGGCAGCCCAAAGGTGAGCAATGCAGATATCATCTACTGGTAGCTGACAGGAGCAAAGCCAACACGGTGGAACAAATACAGTCTCTGCCTCCAAGGATGCCCAGAAGCCCAGATGCAAAAACAACAAAAAATAAACCCAAACCTCATCCCTATTCTTCAACCTAATTCAAAGTGGATGGTTAATGGAAATACCAAATGTAGATCTGTACCACTTCCAGTATATAAAAGGAGGAATCTAGAATAACCCCAAGCTTAACCGTGAGTTTGTCTGTCTGTCTGTTTGCTTGTTTTACTCTATGTGTATGGGTGTTGTCTTAGCTAGGGTCACTATTGCTGTGATGAAATACCATGACCAAGCCAGGCATGATGGTGCAAGCCTGTAGCCCCAGCATTCAGGAAGACAGTGGCAGGCAGATCTCTATGAGTTTGAGGCTAGCTTGGTCTACAAAGTGGGTCCAGGACAGTTAAGGCTATATCGAGAAACCCTATCTCGAATAACAAACAAAACCAAAAAATAAATACCATGACCAAAGCAAATTGGGGAGAAAAGGGTTTGCTTGGCTTATGTTTCCACACCACTGTTTATCATCAAAGGAAGTCAAGGAAGGAACTCAAGCATGGCAGGACCCTGGAGGTGGGAGTTGATGCAGAGGTCATGGAAGGGTGCTGCTTACTGGCTTGCTCCTCATGACTTGCTCAGCCTGCTTTTTACAGAACCTAGGATCACCAGTCTAGGGATGGCACCACCCACAATGAGCTAGGCCCTCCCCATCAATCACTAAGAAAATGCTCTACAGGCTTTCCTACAGCCCGACCTTATGGAGGCATTTTCTCAACTGAGGCTCCCTCCTCTCTGATGACTCTAGCTTTTGTCACGTTGACATAAAACTAGCCAATACAGATATCTTGCCTGCATTTATGTCTGTGCACCCTATGTAGATGGTACCATATAAGCCAAGAGAGGGTCAGAACCCCTGAAACTAAACTTACAAACAGTCATGAACTGCCATGTAGGTACTGGGATTTGAACCAGGTCCTCTGGAAAAGCAGCAAGTACTCTTAACAACTGAGCCATCTCTCCAGCCTATTGATGCTACATATATATATGCATATATATGTGTGTGTGTGTGTATACATACATATATATATATATATATATATATGTATGTATGTATACACACATATGTAATCAAAAGTGTGATCCAGGATAAAACACCTGTTAAACCGTTCTCCACTAAAATGAAAACTTCTGCCCCACGAAAGAACTTGTCAATACTTTGAAAGGGTCGGCCACAGACTGGGGAAACTACCTGCAATGGACGCTTTTACACTAAATATGCAAAGAGCTCTCAAAGCTCACAACAAGCGAGCGAACACACCCGCTTAAAGAGAGGTAAGAGGTCAAAGCTCAGAACAGACTCCTCCTCAGCATTCAAAACGTATAGCACCAGGAATGGACCCTGACATCCCCCCAAAATAAGCACTCATGAGTGTAGTTCATCCCTGAAGCACAGTGCTAGGATAGGGCACTGCTTAGGGGGAGGTTAGCCATGCAGCCGTGTGGTTCATAGTGCAGGGATGGGGTGCTGCTCTGGGGAGGCTGGCCATGTGGAGAGGGGGGAGGGCCCCCGGAAGCCCTGTTCATTGCACTCAATTTTACTGTGGGTTTTTTTTTTAATGCTTTTGTTTTTAAAATGGAGGCTGTTGAGGACCATAGTACAGTTATGCCACACTAATGTCCACATGTCTGGTCTGCAGAGGCAAAGGCGAAGAACTTGGTTTCACTGAGGGCAGGCCTCCAAGCTGACTAGGCTGTACAGGAAGGTGGCTGCCCCACCTAGGAGGCAGCTTCCCTCCCCTCTCCTGCCACTAAAAATTGAAGCTGGGGCCACCATTCTCTTTTGTTTCCAAATAAGTTGGAAGATCTGAATTTTGACATGAAATCACAACTGCTGGTCACAACTCATTCAAAACATCATTGAACATCTAAACAGTCACAGGGCAGGCACCACCGAACCAACCACGGGCCTATGTGACATTAACCAACATGGGATGACGAAATGGTTATGGCCAGCCTCCTGGCTCCATCAGAATCCTCCTTAGGAAGATTCTAGGTCCCTCCTCTTATCAGGGGAAAGACTGGCGCACAAAGGGACTCTTGTTTTACAAGCCTTGGAGTAAGACATCCTCAGGGGGTTGACAAAGAAGGAACGGGGCATCCCCCACTAAAAGACACACAGTGACCCTGCCCACCAGTGACTGTGGACAGCCAATGGTTACATCAGAGCTTCCTGCTGGGGATTGTGTAACACTTTAGTAATTTTGTCGCTCTGAAGAACACTTGGATCCTACTCGGGGCCAAAGCATGATTGCACTTGACTTTGAAAGTGAGAATAACAAAGCTTTCCAGTGAACAAATGAGGAGCAGATGACAAGGGGATGTTTACAAGTCTCTCGGCATCCCTGGGTTGGAAAAACAGCACGTGTTCGGTTTCAAAGAACCTGCTGGATGCCACAGGCCCAAGGCCCGTGGGGGAATGAGCTGTTACCTAGGAAACCTTGACCGCAAGTGGTCCTCACTCAGAGCCATCACAGAGGCTCAGAGGGAGCCTTGTAAAGCAGGAAGGGCAAAAGTGTTTCCGGCCTTGAGGGTGGGAAAGAATCCAGAAATTCAATATCTTTCCTTGCTATGGCATTTCTCCACCTATGAGTTCAGCTTATGCAAGTTCAACACCACAGAGCGAACCCAGGTCTCCCAGGATTCTGCAGTACATTGTTCAAGGCCCCTTTGATCCATCAGTTGTCTGTATCCCAGTGAAATAATAACTGCTACTCTTCCCATGCTTCAAACAAAGAACCTGAAGAAGCACCAAGTAGTAGAATATGATCCCAGGTCCATAAAGCTACAAGGCACAGAGTTAGGACCTGGCCTGAAAACGCCACAGTTAAGCTGGGTCACCTCCTTCAACTGGGCCAGAAATGAACCTATTTGCTTCTAGACCAATAGGTCTCTACCTTTTTAATGCTGTAACTCTTTAATACAGTTCCTCATGTTGTGGTGACCTATCCACACGCACAATTATTTCTTTGCTACTTTATAACTGTAATTTTGCTACTGTTATGAATCACAATGTAAATATCTGATAAGCAGGATATCTGATATGCTACCCCAAAGGGGATCTCGACCCATAGGTTGAGAATGGGCTGTTCTAGAGGCTTAAAATGGAGAACCCCTGCCTCTGCCCTGGCTAGTTTCTATCCAGGTCCTCCTTGCATGTCACAGAAAACCCCTGTGCAACCCTGGTTACCTTCCACCTCTGGTATCTTGTACTACCCTTTGTGGCCACTGGTTTCAGGTGCCCAGCCTCCAGCTCAGTTAATGAACTCCATACCACAGATCATCGGAGCTTCTCCACCTACTCTGAAACTCAGCCCCTTGGCACCCCTGTCCGCTCCCGCTGGTTCTAAAGGTGCATCCTTAATCAAGGCCACACAGGACCCCACTCTCCGCCTACCTTACAGCCTGCTTCCTGATTAACAGCCTGTCTTCCTCAGAACTTTTTGTACTATGCTGTGAGCAGCTTCAAGGCCACATCGCCAAATGGTGTGGGGACAGGAGGACTTAACCATGGTCTGTCTTCAGCACATAGTTTCCACTTGGTCCCAGCCAATGACTGGGCATCTTCTGTGTCACCTCCATTATGCAGAAAACCAACCCCACACAGCCACCACACACTGTGAGCTCACAGTCAGTCTACCACCTAGGATTTGACCTTGGCAAGAGGTCACTGTATGACAGGCACTCTTCTTGCTTTCCTGGTACCTTCTCAAGCTGCTGGCAGGAAGGAGCCCTGTGCCACAAAGACTCTTTTAGTATCCCATCATTCCCAAAGGGAATGGAAACTCCAGTTGGTGCTACACTCACCTGGAGGGTTGAAGGTGGCCTTCCATGTCATGGAATTATCCCGAGTGTACAGCTCCACCGAGCCCTTTCCACCGCTAGAGCAGACTTTGAACCCATCAGAGACAACCTGTCCCCCGTAAGCATAGGGGGCTGGTCGGGACTGCTCTCCTTGAGTCTTCCAGAAAAACGAAAATGTCACTCCTGAAGAGAGAAGCATGCATTCATCAGCTAGTGCTTCAGAGACGTGAAATGCCACGGGAATATCCCATGAGAGCCAGGTACCTTCCCAAGAGTGTGACCCAAGCCATCATCTCCTTTCAAATAGTGCAAAGCCTTGCTCCCATTCCCAGGACACAGAAGAGGTGACTGAGGCCACTGGGTTAGTGACTGACGGAGGTTAGGTACCGACACAAGCTGGCTGACTGCGTGTGCAAATGTGAACCCCATCGCCACAGTCTCCAGCCCTACCTACTCAGCCAGATCCTGACAATGATTTTACAAAGGAAGGAACTGCTTCATTCATTCCGGTTACACACGGCATCCTCTTAAAGATTGACTGCCTCCGGAATGTCCTCCCACATCCGTAAATACACTTTCACACTGTCATTTTTATGTCTGCCTGGCGTCACATCCTAAACAACCCCCTATTTCTGAGTCATATGGTTTGCTTCAAAGTTTTGAAGGAACATTCCAAACAGAACTTGCAGCTAATTTTTTTTTGACATATCTTAAATTGTATATATTTCAGAATATGTTCCGGGGGGAGAGGGGAGGCTGTTCCTGTGAAAAGGGAAGCTGATTTTCAAGGTCCAGAAGGCGTTGGCTGCTAACTGCCTGTGGATGAAGGTGTGAGGTAGGCAGAGAAAAGAGCAGCTACCATGTTTTGCAGGGCCCAGTATGGGTTCAGGTGATGGCTAGTTTCACCCAGCAGTTTGATACAACTTATAATCACCTAGGAAAAGTGTCTTGATACAGGGTTGTCTAGAAGAGGTTGGGCTATGGACATGCCTGTGGTGGATTGTCTTGCTTGCTCTGATTGGTGTGAGAAGACCGAGCCAGCCCACTGTGGGCAACACCATTCCCTAGGTTTGGGTTCTGGAATGCATAAAAGAAAACCGGCTGAGAACAGCACATGTTCATTCTCTCCCTGCTCTTCACTGTGGATGTGATGTGAGGGGTAGTTTTATAAGTTCCTTCTGCTTTGACTTCCTTACAAGATGGGTTACAACATGAAATTTTGAGCTAAAATTAAAAAAATAAAATAAATTATCCTGAATTGCTTTTTGTCATAATAAGTGTGAAACCCAGACCCCATGATGGGGTGAGGGTGTTTCTACCATGTGGGACTGTGTGGCCTCTGCTACAAACATCATTGTGAATGAGTCAGGTCACAGATGCAGAGAAAATATAACCAGTCAGCCAGGCAAGAGTGTCTGGCATGCACACAGGCGGGTCTGGGCCCACCTTTCAGGTCCGTCAAGGCACAGACCTGGATGGAGGTCCCCACGGGTTACAGGCCTCCCTGAGATGACACCATAGCTTTTCTGCTTTGAGTAACCCCTGCTCATTTCCCTCCCCAGATGTGTGCACTGTACGTGTGTGTTTGTGTGTGCATGTGTATGTTAAGCTAGGCACCTGTTGGACTCTGTGTGTGAAAGAAATAAAGCAATGGTCTGGCTCCGCCCACCTGGCCAGGGATGTGAGAGTTCCAGTGAGCCAAGCTGTCCTCCCTGCAGGGTTAATCATAACAAGCAACCATGAATCAGGGCTCAAGGGGGAGGAGGGAGAGAGGTACGGGGACATTTGCCCTGGCCTTATTTATATAAATGACACCAAATTCACTTTAGATGTTATCACCAAATTCGGTCACGTACAGAGGCTTAGAAGGCACCTGTCTCTGGTATGTAAATTGGTGTCTCATCACCAGCCATCTTTGCTGCAAGGCCTTATGGGTTGGTTTGTTAGAGTCTTTTGAAGGTCTTGTGACAATCGTTCTGCCTCATGCCTTCCGGTATTGAAGTCTCCATATGACAAACACGAGCATAGGGGATGTGGCACATGTTTTCTAGCCTTGGCTTGTAATTTCTCCATTTTATTTTATTTTTTCTATCCAAGAGGAGACTGAAGACTTTTGAATGCTCCCACAAAATGACAAGTGAACGACAAATGTTTGGGATGACAGGTTTCGAATTGCCCTGCTCTGCGTAGCCCTCACCACATACGTGTCGATGTGACATGCAGTACCCGAAAGAATGCCTAAATGCTCCGTGTGGATCAGAAATGAAGATGAAGAGCCAGGAGATGGCTCGGTCCTTAAAGCATTTGCCAGGCAAGTGTGACTTCTGGAATATGGATCCCTATTAACCCACATAAATGCCTGGCCGTGCAGCCAACTATCATCCCATCCTCAGAGCACCAAGGCGGAGAGTCCCCAAGAGCAAGCTGACTAGCAAGACAAACCCTCTCCTTAAGCTCTGGGTTTGACTGAGAGACCTCGCCTCAAGAAATAAAGTGGAAGAGTCACTGAAGAAGATTCCTGATACCAACGTGTAAACATACATGCATACGTGTAAACATACATGCATACATACATGCACATGAAAAATGGAAAAATTAAATGAAAGCCAGTCAAGCATGGTGGGGCAGATCTGTCCTCTCAGGTACTTGGGAGGCTGAGTCAGAAGGATCATGAGCTCAGGGCTAGCCTGAGCTACATAGTGAGTTCAAGACAATCCTAGGCAACGTAGTGGGAATCCCATCTCTCAATAAAAAGTAAAGAGAAAGTTAAAGGTGTAAATTAGTAGTCCAGCACTTGCCCAGTGTGCTGGCCATGACACTAATCCCCAAAACTGAAAATAAAAAATTAAATATCTATCTCTCTGCCTAGTATATCTAGATCTATAGATATATTAGATAGAGATAGATATAGATAGCTCTATCTATATAGATATTAGATATATAGATATATAGGTAGTTATAAATAGACAGATATAGGTAGATTAGGTATATTATCTCTAAATATATATATATATATATATATATATATATATAGAGAGAGAGAGAGAGAGAGAGAGAGAGAGAGAGAGAGATAAGTGTGTTTGTTTGTTTGTTTGTTGAGACCAGGTCTCTCTTTGTAGCTCTGGCTGTTCCGGAACTTGCTATGTAGACCAGGCTGGCCTCAAACTCAGAGATCCACCTGCCTCTGCCTCCCAAATGCCGTAATTAATATGTCACTATACCTGGCTCAAAACTATGTTTTGTTTTGTTTTTTTAAGAAGAACCTCCAAACACTAGGAGGGTGCCTGATCTCTCTAGGTCTCTGGGAGCTCTGGGTAGAATCCAGGTCTGAGGGGCATCCTTTGGCTGCTGAGGAAAGCAAAGGTCCTGGGAGACCTCAGCCGCCAGGATAGGATGATGCTGAGAGGCAGGCACAGAGCCTGGAGGGTGTGGCTGAGGTCTGGGTCATCCCAGCTATGTGTGGAAGAGGGGACTTAGATCTCTCCCCCCATCCTTCCTCTATCAGGCTCAGCTGGCACCCTGCCCCTGCCCCGCCCCCGTCCACTTCACTGCACTCAGAAACAACCAGTTTCATATGGAAAAGAAGATGGGCACATTGTGAAATTTTTGTTGTGAAATGTATCCCCAGCAGGATTCATGAAAGTCATTTCTCCGCTCCTCCCCCATCCCCCACCCCACCCCACCCCACCCCACCCCTCCCTGAAAAAAAAAAAATGCTGCTTAAAAAAAATCCTTTCACTCAACTAAAAATGATGCTGTCTCTGCCAAATGTGCCTCTGCCCAGGAAGAGAAATAAAAATAAAAAATTCAATAAGGTGTTAGGTAATAAAAATAAAAATTAAAAATTCAGTAAAGTGTTGAACCGGGACAAGGAGAAAGTGGGCCATGAACTCTGCCAGAAAAGCCACTCATTTTAGCTCAGTCAGCCTGCAAAGTAATGACTCCTGTCTGTAGAAACCATCACCGAAGTATCATTCTGTGTCTCCACGGTGTGGAAAGATTCACAATGTGCCCACAAGAGCACCTGTCAAAAGCTCATATCAGCACAGAGAAGGAAGTCTGAAGGGGAGAGAAATGAGCACAACCCAGCACATTGGTTCCATATTTTGCTCCTGTTAGCACTGATAAATCCTAATCTTTCTACAGCCCCTGGTCGGAGATGCACTGAGTTAGAAGCATCACTGAGGTGGCCAGACCAGCTGCACCTGCTCAGTAAATGTTCTACCGATACTATCTTGTGGGGAACACTGTAAAGGTCTCAGAGAGCCAGGGGTGGTCCAGACAGAGTCCCCCACAGTGCCAGACACTAGAGGTGACAATAGTCTATTGTCTATCACCATCAATCACCAAGTCCTATGGAGGAGCTGCCACACAGGAACAGGAGATCTGAGACAGAGGCACTTACCAAGCAAAGTGAGTGTGGAACAGAGGCCCGGGTCTCCAGGTAGACAGATGCCCAGATCCTCTGAGAGGCCCTTCTTACTCTGAGCCTCCCCACGTGGGCGCTCCATGAAGTGAAGCAGACAGAACCAGAAGCAGCACTGCCGGCTCCCTGAGGCCAATACTCCCAGTTCAGTCTATGCAAGAATGTGGGCCTAGCATGCATGAAGCCCTGAGTTTGATCTTAGCACTGCATAAAATCAGGTGTGGGATGCATTCCTGTCTTGTCTTGAAAGAAGGAGAGAGAGCCCAGCCTAATGTGTTTTGATGGTTATATGAACTGGGAACCAGCTCAAACTGTATGTTAGCAAACACCAAGACTTTAAAGTTGTTCCACAGTTTCTCACAAAGCTAAAAATAGGACTACCGTGTGACCTAATTATACAGCCCCCTAGGCATATACTCAATAGGACTCCACGTCCTATCACAAGACACTTGCACATCCATGTTCCTGGCTTCTCTGTATACACTAGCCAGAAAACAGAGCCATTCTAGATGTCCATCACCTGCTGAATGGATAATGGATAGGTGGCACCTTGATGCAACTGGATTTTATTCTGCTTTAAAAAAGAATGAAATCATGAAATTTACATGAGAATTGTGGAACTGGAAAATATTACACTAAGCGAGGTCACCCCAGTATAGAAAGACATAATGCCTCATGTTCTTTCTCATATGCAGATCCTAGCTTTGAATTTTTAGATTTGTGTGTTTAATTTGGAGTGTCTGTAGAGAAGCCAGAAAGGACCCATGAGAAGGAGAGGGAAAGAGGCCTGAAGGTACAAGAGAGGATGGTAGAACACATGGGCAATGAGAGCAGAGATGGGAAATACTGGGTGGGGGAGGGGAGTTAGGGGTCAAGCAGGAATTGCGTTCAGGAGCAATGGGAGAAGATAAAACTGGGAACGAGTTAACAGAAACTAAAAATATGTGAATACTTCTGGAAAGCAACTATTTCGTACGCTAATTGAAATAGATAATTTTTAAGGAGGATTTGAACAGAAGCGCCCTGAATAAGAGGACAGTGAAGCTCTCAGAAGAGATGATTCTTGAATGAAAATCTCAGTGTCAGACATGGCCACCCCCCACACACAAATTATGTATTGGTTAGAAAGGCCCCAGAGACTACTAAAGCAACACAGGTTCTTGCTGTTGCTCTTGGCTTTCCACCATAACCGGATGGGAAGACCCTATTACTGAAGGCACTACATATGTTGGTTGCAGGACAGAAAGAAATCAAGCTAGGACCTCCCTGGAAACTTTTCTATTGGTTAGTAGCTGGAAAGTGTTAGGCAGCCCATTGAGGAAGAAAAATAACCAATGGTCTTACTCATTGCTCGATCTTGCATGACACAATACTGGTCTGCCATGCAAAATGTGCCCAGTGCAGCAACAGTGTTACGACAGAACCACTCAGCTTCTAACTGGATTTGAGGCCTGCTCCCAGGAAAGAATGCATACCCGGTACCGTAAACTTGATCAAGGCCTGTGGCTGGGAAGGTCGTAGCCCTTACAGGGGGACCTACTATTTTGGCTTTGATAAATGGACATGTGATCAAACTACCTTCCAAATATTTATCTTTATAGCCATAGATCAGTGCCACTATCAACCTTGGTCAGAGAAGCTTCTTTTTGCAGTGGGCAGTGGTTAATGTAGAGATTCATAAATGTGCTAAGACTATGTGACTATTGAGTGTTCATCCCTAAAGAAGACATCTGTGTCAACCCTCCCAAGGCATAGGGCCCATCACAGAAGAGGGGACAGAAAGTATACAAAAGCTGGAGGATGGGAGAGGAGTGCTGGGAAATGTTGTTTTCAGTCAAACATTCCAACACAAATTGGAGGGGAAGGGGCTCATGAAGTCATAAGGTGCTATGGACAGTTAATGACTACTGAGAGAGGAGTCTGTTTTCTTCTGGGGTGTGTCCACTGGCATGTTGCCGATGTTCTGATGGATGGCCCCATAGCTACACACTTGCAGACAGCACCGACTGGATGAATAGGTTACAAAGAGACAAAGAGGCAAAGGACATGAAGCTAGCAGAGGACAATGTCCCCCAAAGGATTCAAATGCACCCCAGATACATCTTTATGAAGCCGGGACTCCAAGGGGAGAGGTGGGATCTGTCTCCTCTTTTGACACACCTGTCATGAGTTCCAGCCACAGGCCGCAGGCTGGAGCAGGTCCATCTACCATCCAGCCACCTTCAGCGGACACATAAGAAGTGAACCCGGTTTGAGGGTTAACAGGCACACCCTGCTGTGCCAGGCCTGACCTGTCATCAACATCCCAGAACCAGAAATAACGCTGTGAGAGCCACACCATCAATTTCCTTCCCACAACCGCCGGGCCCCATCCCAGCCCAAGTGACATATATGGCAGCAGCTATGTTTTAAAGTGGGATGCTCCCGTTCTTCTACAAGGTTAAATATTTTAATCTCTCGGCTCTGTAAGGCTATGTCCTATCTTTCAGTTTCCAAGACAGGCCTGCACTGGAGCGGCTCCTCCTTTTCTCCAGCTTGTATGTGACATTTTCACTCACATTGCAGTTAATAAGAACTCTGTTCTCTTGGGCTGGGGACATAATTCAGCAGGCAGTGGTTTTCATTGAGCAAGCATAGGACTTGAGTTCAGATGTCTGAGACTCCACCTCAGGGGCGTAAGGCAAAGAGTGATATAACAAGACCGCCACCTCTCCCCCCAACCCACCCCATGTCTTCCTTGGAGCATAAGCACATTTACTGGTAACACACACACACACACACACACACACACACACACACACACACACTCACAGATTCTATTCACCCCAACTCACCCTCGGGTCCACACTGGGCAGGGTTGCTAATGCAGGATGATTTGTAGCTGCCATAGTAAAGGAACGTCACACCCTTTTCCTCCTTGAGGTAAATGCCTTTGTTGACCTTCCCTTCCATGATATCTAGGAAAGTAAAAGGACATGGCAGTCAACCTATTGCCCCCAGAAGACTAGAGACACGTCAGACTTACAAGCAACTTACAGGGAATGCCAAACATTATCCTCCTCTATAGTACATTTTTAATGTCACACATTATTCCCTGATAGTAATCACATTCACTAATATTTAATTATTGATAGTGGGAGTGTGAATGATTCATAAGTTTAAGTGTTAGGGAATAAATTATTACCTTCTATTAATGTCAGGTCAGCGTAACCTATATTTTAACATAACAATATTGTAACTGACATATTTGCTCAACTGTTGAACTCTAAATGCCACTCACACTCCTGCTTTTAGGGTCCCTCCCACTAGGAACACTCTCGATGGTTAAATGTGAGGTCATTGTTACGGGCTGGTCCTACCAGGTACTCACTGAAGCATCCTGGTCCTCCATGTGTGCAGCCTCAGCGTTTAGAGCCATGTCCAGCTCCATTTGGAAAGCCCCAGAAGGACCTGCCAACAGCGCTCCTGGAGAGCCACAAACCGCCGCCTCCAGCAGAGCTCATTCAGCTATCTTTTTTTTGTCATGTGTCGTGACTGGTGTGTCCCACGGCAAAAGTAAATTGTGTGCTTTACAGGTCGGGAAGTGAGGGCTATGAAAACTATTAGTGATGGGCTTTTGCCATGCACTGGAATGAGCATGTGCAAAGATTGCCACAACCTGTGTAAGAACAGAGAGGGAATGGTGCATGTCTTTCTGGCTGCTGGCCAAGTATGCATTCAGGATCTGGGAACTCTGCTCACACCTATCACTGACTAGATGCAACACTCCCTGTCCTGTGGACCTCTTCCCAGGGGCCCCAGTGGTTAAACTCTGGTTCTACTTATCCCACTGGTTGCCATGAGAGAGCTATATATCACTTCACTAAGTGGATAACTAGCCACTAGGTAATTGAATCAGACTGCACAGGCCCAAGAACCAGACTGCGTGCTTAGTAAAAGCATTTAGAAATGCCAAACAGCCCACAGTGGAGAGAGAAATCAGGTGAAGAGCTGAGGGAAGGTAGAGAGGTGTGCACAGCCTGAACACCCATCAGATGCTCGACTCCACCGATGCTGCCCCTTCAGCTCTGAGCTCAAGGGACTCCCAGGCTCTGGGTGTAACCAACAATCTTCTGACTCAAGTGGGCGTGTCCTCTAAAACAGCTCCTAATGAGTTTTCATCATGCAGCTGCAGAAATGCTGATGGGATATTTGCAAGACCAGTTTTTGGATTAATTTTAAAATCAATTTGCAGTTTCCATGAACTGGGCAGAGTTAACAGCGCCTCCCCCAGCCCCACTCCACAAAGAACACAATCTGTGCCAAAACCCAGTTTCTGCCAAGCATGGTGGAGTACACCTGGAATCCTGACGCTGGGGAGGCAGGAGCAATAGTTTAGGTTCATCCTTGACTACACAGAGAATTTGAGGCAAGCGTGGGCTCCATATAACTTGTCTCCAAAAAGGAAAAAAAAAATCCATTTTCAATCTTTAGAAATGATCTGGGCCGAGTTTGTTTTTGTTCTGAGATCAAGGAACTGATTCAGAAGAAGCTGGCAAAGCGGAAGAGCCTCCACCCCTTCCAGACATGGCTATCTGGAGGCTCTCTAAGCCAGAAGCCTGAGTGAGTGACTTTTCCCAGCATCCTGGCTCTCTCTTCATTTCCTCCACTTGCACCTAGCCACTCACTTCTTTACCAGCCAAGAAAGTTCTACGGAACCAGATTACACCAGCCTTTAGCTTCACTGGGATCCAAATGTGCAGGACCAAGCCCTGGTGCTCACCTACGGTTGCAGAGAAGTTGGAGTAGGCAGAGTCATTGGTAAAGACAAAGGTAGCATTGTGGAAGGGAGGCACAGTGAGGTTGAGGGTTCGCAGCGCTGGGTGAAATGACAAAAGAGAGGACAACACATGAGTGACATGAGACACAAATGGAAACAGCACATCTCTCACCCCAGCACTCGGGGGAAGAGCTCCTCCTCCTCCAGGCCCTCCTCTCCTTCCCATATCCTCTTCTTCCCACAGGTTTCTTCAACAGACTCCACAGCCAGCTCCAACGGCTCCCTGAGTCTGGTCACTGCTGACTTTGGCCACTATATAGTAGATAAAGCTCTCAATTTTCTGGCTCCCACTCCCAGACGGATGCTCAGTTGAGAGATGTAGAGTTGAACTCAGCCATTTATGAAGCGGTGAAAACAAAAAGAGCAATGCTTGTGATATGAAGAAACAATGAGTGAGGAACACTGTGAAAAACAGCTCTGTGAGATGGCAACAGACAAGACAACACAGGGGTCGGCCACAGAGAAAAGGCCTGCATATCCAGGAGGTGGCACCCAGAGCCATGCAGCTGTCCCTAGGCTTGAGAGGTGCTGAGAGATCCCCAGACTGTCTCTCCATCCTGGGGAGCTGCTCTCAGGACTACACAGCCCTTGTCAGCAACACACACTGCAGCGAGGCTCCCACAGGAAGCCACAGCGCCAGCGCCACACGGCACAGTGTGGGGACAGACAAGGAAGAGTTGAATATTTCAGCATATTTCCTGCTGTTTCTGAGTGATTATGGGACTTCAGAACACCCAAAATCTACTGCTTAATCAGCAGCAGTGAGCTCAGAGGGGGGAAAGGAGTGAAAAAAAAAAAAAAAAAAAAACCACCTGGACCGGAGTCCCTGGGTTCCCAAACACTTTTCCACTTGGTCAGGTGACTGCCTCTCGGGGGCTTCAAAGTCAAGACTTCCAGAGAAGAGATTTAGATTTTGACAAAGGCCGATGGGCTGTTTCCCCCTGAGCCAACACTTCAGCTGGCACCGGTACTGCCACCAGCAGCAGAGCAGAGAAAATTCTTGGCTGCCATACAGTCTGTAGGGGCCCGGAGCCCCCTACCGCTTTGCAGGGCCCTCGAAGGAGGGGGGAGCAGCCTATCAGACTGAGCCCTTCTCAGAGGCCCCGCCCACGACCAGCTCGAAGCCGAATGGAGAGATTTCGTTTGTTTGTTTGAGTTTACTTTCAACTTTTAAAAATATTTTTATTGATTTTATTTTGTCTTTTTTAAACATACACTTATCTATTGTCCGCGTGCACGGACGCGGACGCGCTTTTGTATGGCACAGTCGGCATGCAGAGGTCAGAGGAGAATCCTCTTTCATCGTGGGGGTCCAGGAGATTGAACTGCTCTGGCTGTGGAGCTTAACAAGTGCCTTTATCCACTGGACTGTATCGCCAGCTCTTTTTTTATTTTGGAGAACGGGGCTTGTGTGTGCCATTGGGCATGAGCTATGGTAAGAGGATAGTCTGCGGGGTTCGCTTCTTTCACCATGTAAGTCCTGGAAATCGAACTCAAATCTTGAAGATTGGAAGCAGGTACCTCTATTCGCTGGGCTCTCTCACCAGCCTCTGGGCTCCAAAGTTTTAGGAAGACATTTTCGAATCTTCTGCAAAGGTTTCCCATTTTAAGTCATATCAGTGAGGAAGGGTATCAGGGATCTGAGGTGGACAGCTTGACCACCATCAGAGATTTGAATGCATTACGTGCGAACCTGTACATAGAGAGCAATGACATTGTGTGTGTGCGTGTATAAGTGTGGGCGTGGGCGTGTGCATGTGTGTGTCTGTATTTGACATTCTTAAGAGCATCACATATCTAAAAATAAAGCGGAAGACTTCCCAAAATCATTCTGAATCAATGTTTTTTAAGGGAGTCCTTGCTAGAATGAACAAACTCACAACTGTCATGGGCTTCTCCAATGTCATCATCTAAGTTCAGTGGCACTGAGATCCTGGTGCCTCCTGTGGACGTGGCACCGGGAAGATCACCTTAGGGGTGTTGGCTGGTGTGGGGGTAAGTGGTTGGTAGACAGAGGACCATTTGCTCTGTGCCCTTAAAGCAAGAGAGTGTGTCACAGTTCATCGTGATCCATAGCACCCACCTCACGTCACCTTGTTGTGGCAAGTCAGCTCTGTCCACCCACAAACACGTACCCAGACTCTCACCTTAGCAGAAGGTTCTACATTAATTCGGGTTTAGGAAACACTGCCCTTCTATCATAACAACGTATCAACGTTCTTATAAAAACACTTTGTAAGCCAGTAGTGGCACACGCCTTTAATCCTAGCACTTGGGAGGCAGAGGCAGGTGGGTCTCTGTGAGTTCGAGGCCAGCCTGGTCTACAGAGTGAGTCCAGTACAGCTAGGCTACACAGAGAAACCTTATCTCAAAAAAACCAAAACAAACAACAAAAACCACTTTGCAGTGACCATCAGTGAACCACAGAGTGCCCCCTCATCACTATCACCCCATCTCCAACATGTCCTGGGGCACCTAGAGACTCTTTCTCCCTCTCCAGGTGCCCCAGGCCCTGTGGAAGATCTATCCCCATGCCAATGGACATCCTCACCACCCTCATCTACCTCCAGTTGTGTCCTGAAGCTCAAGGATCCCGTCCACATTTTCCAATGGCCAGTAATGAGAAGCAGAAGCCAAGACTGCAAAGCCTGCAGAGAGAGGACCAAAAGAGTTTAAATCACAATCAGGGAGCTGTGACCTGAACGCTCGGAGATTGAAGAAGAGTGAAATTGTCATGATGACCACGGAGCTGGCTGAAAAGGTATTAAGAAAATTCAATACACTCTCCCAGTTAAACAAAAAACACCACTTTAAATTAGAAATCAATGGCTAGTTTCTTAATTGGGTAGAACAGGACAAATAGGAAAGGACACCTCCCTAATTGAAGAAAACAAAGGCCCTGTGTCTGTCGGTACAGGGCTAGGAGCTGCCCATTACTGTAGAGGAAAGGTAGAAATGCCCATTATCTTGCTGTTACCTGGAGTGGCTTTACAGGCAACATTTGATATAATTGGACCACTGAAGGAAATAGGTTTAAAATGGCTTTCAGGGGGTAGCTGCTAACCCCGGTGTCATGCCGGGCATTACAGAGGCCCCTGACAAACACTCCCTATGTCTTCTAACAGTAACCTGCAAGCTAGCGCACCCTTCCCCTGTTTGTAAAGAGAAGCGAAATTCCTGCTGGAGGCTTGGAGAGATGGCTCTGTTGGCACACACGTGTGAGGACCTGAGCTCTACTCCCTAGACCCACATAAAACCAGGTGTGGTAGTAATGCTCGGTAAGTTGGGGAGACAGAGAAGGGATCGTGGGAGCTCACAGGCCAAGCAGTTAGCCAAAACATGAGCTTCAAGGTACAGTGAGCGACCCTGTCTCAAAAAATAAAGAAGACACCCAAAGTCCTCCATGAGAGCACACACACACACATTACCCCAACGCATAAATAGAAAAATTAAAAATAAGCAAAAATAGCCATAGCCAAGAATAAATAAGAGGGACTGGAGAGGGCATGGGTTGAGGGCTGGGCAGAGTGCTAGGCAGTGCTGCCCAGCTACAGAGCTGAGGGCGGCAGAGGCTTGAGGGGAGCTGGGGACAAGCATGGAGGGTTCGGCAGATGTTCACGTGGGAGAGGCTATGAGGTGGCTCCACTGCATATAGACAGTGGCTTATGATAGAGGTGGCATTTTAGATCAGAAATTTATTCACCACAGGTCTGGAAGTCAGTCAGGCGTCTGAGAAAAAATAATATCCTACCTCACGGGTACGTTCAGATGGTTCAAAATGAGAGCGTAACACAAAAGCTGCTAAAGGCTGGGTGGGGTGGTACATGGCTTTACTCTCAGTTTGGGAGGCAGAGACAAGGGATCTCTGTGTCCAAGGCCAGCCTGGGCTACATAGTAAAGAAGAAGAAACCAAGAAGGAGGAGGAAGAGGAGGAGGAGGAGGAGGAGGAGGAGGAGGAGGAGGAGGAGGAGGAGGAGGAGGAG